GGCCAGGCCCAGGCCGAGGGCGGGGAATGTGAGCAGGGCTGCCGGGCCCTCGGGGGGACCGGAGGCCGAGGACGACGTGGCTGCCAAACGAGGGAGCTGGGCGGCGGCAGAGGAGGTGGCCAGAGTCCCTCCGTGGGTAGAAGCTACTGAGCAAGACAGGGACTGGGGGACGCCCGCCCCGAGGAGAGCCCCGATGCTGCGAGGAAGTGCGCTGGGCACCTGTGGGCCCCGGGAGAGTGTGGGGAGCTGGGGGTGCAGCTCCCAGTCAAGGGGCCCTCCCTCCCATGGATGCAGTTCCTGGCAAGTGTTTTATAGTCAGACCTGGAGGAAGAACAAGGCCGCCTCCCCATCCCCAGCCCAGACCCGCCCCCGGGGGAGGGGAGGAACGAGGATGAGTGATGAGAGGCAGGAGGCAGGGGGTCTACTGGGTCTTCTTATCCTCCGGGGGGTAGTAGGGAGGGGGCGGAGGCTGGTTCTGTGAGGGAGGGAAGGAAAGGTCAATTAGAAGCTCAAACCGAGCCCAGGTCCCCCACCCCTAAGTCCCAGCCCGTGGCCGGCCTGCTGCACCCACCGTGGGCATGTAGACGGTGTGCGGGTTGTCGGGGTTGTAGTAGGCGCTGGCAGCGGCTTCTGCGGCCTTGGCTTCGGCTGTGAAGGCAACACACCAGGGATGAGCCTCCCCTCTTCCAGCCGCCGCGGGGCTGGGGCTGCCCTCAGCCAGGGGCCGCTGCTCAGGGCAGGGCGCTAGGACCCAGCTCTGCCCACAGCACAGCCTTAGCTTTCCCTTACCCCCTCCACCTGCCACTGTCCCCCCCAGGCCTCCCTCCCTGTCACCACCCGCCAGGTGGCCCCGGAACCATCTGCCGGGAGCTGAGCAGCTGAGAAGGCCGAGGCAGAGGGAGACCGGCCCAGATCCGGGCACGACCAGCTCCTCATCCTGAGGGCACCTGCCAGGCCCCTGGGCAGTCCCTAGGCCCAGGCCATGCACCCGTGGGGCTCCCAGCAGCCTCCCCCGTTCCCAAGCCCCTTGCAGCCCCGGCCGGGACAGGGCTGGTTTCCCAGGACGGCGGGCAGCCCGGGGCCTCACCTGCAGGAGTGGAGGGGACCTCAGGGCCGCTGACTGGCGGCTCCATGGGCCCCGGGTAGGGCGGTGGTGGGGGCTGCACGTACCCCATGGCCCCGTCCATCATGGGAGGTCCTGGATAGAACTCTGCTCGGCAAGAGAGGGACAGGAACCCCATAAGCGGCCAGCCCCCTGGTAGTCCTGGAGCAGGTCCCACAAGTCTCCCCTCTACACCGCCCTGGCCTGGGTGGGGCTGGTTAGTGGGTGGGTGAGGGGTGGGCAGCAAAGGATACACTCACCAGGTGGGGGCGGTGGGTAGGGGTAGCCAGGAGGGCAGGGGTACATTCCATTGGCGACGGGCGGGGGGAAGACATAGGGCCCGGTGGGCAGGTAGGAGTACCCATAGGCTCCAGGGGGGGCTTCGCCTCGGGAGGCTGCAAGCACAGGGGAGAGAAGTGCGCTCAGCCTCGGGCTGGGGGAGGGTCCCACCCCTGGGAGGGGGGCTCGGGGTCCCCGGATGTGCACAGCGGACGGGCCTTATCCCTCGCCATCCGCCCCCCCGCCCCCCACGTGAGCTGACCTTGGTCAGAACAAGGCGAGGGGCCAGGATGGGGAGAGGTCAGAGGGGGAGAGGTCAGAGGGGGAGGTCAAGAACAGGGGGAGAGAAGGGGGGGAGGAAGGGAGGGAGGAAGGGAGGCTGGCTCAGGGCTGGGATAGGTAAGGATGCCTGTGTACACAGCTCTCGGGGGCTTAGAGTGTTTGAGGTTCTTGTCCTAGCCCCCCAGACAGCCCCCGTAGGCCCCGATGTCTAGAGCCCTGATACCTTGCGATGCCACCTGCAGCATCCGCTGTCCGAACTCGATGGCGCCCCCTGCCGTGAAGGTCAGCTTGTATGAGGCAGAGCCTTCCCAGCCACCTGGGGAGGACAGCGCAGCCACGCTCAGGGCACAGTCACTGTGAGACCACTGGTCCTCCCCGCCCGGCCAGCGCCCGAGGCGTGGGAAAGGCCTGGCTCTGCGGCCTCCAGGGACCAGGCCTCGGCCTCCAGCCCCCGCGCCGGCTGCAGCCTCCGGGTGAGCCTCCGGGCTTTTCCTCTGGGCACAAACTCGCCCGCCCGCTCAGCACTGTGAGGGCACCGCAGGGCCTCCCACCCGTCAAGCCACTTCCCAGGAGCAGGTACCGTCAGCGACCACCTGCGTTCAAGTTCAGGGCTGACTCACCCTGAGGGGCCCAAGGATGGACTCCCGGACCCTCTGGCCTGGCTCCCGCCTAAGGGGACCTGTGAGCCCCGGTGACAACGCGAGCTCCCGGGGCGGGTGAGGGCCGGGGGGCTGGGCAGAGGTCAAGGGCGCCTGGGAAGGAGCCCGCCAAGCAGGACCTCCCGGCGTCAGAGAGCAGCTCCTCGGCTCCAGGGAGAGGCCCCTCCACCCTGAAACCGGGACATGCCCAGGTCGCAAGTGCTTCCACTCGCTCAGTCATCGCCGCTTCCCCCTGCGAAGGTGATGTGCGCCGCCACCTCGATGCCAGCATTTCCAGTTGTCAACCAAACCCACCTCTGCTACACAGCTGGCGCCCAGGTGTGGGTGTTGGAAGCTAACTCAGACCAGGAAGAGGACGAGCTGGGACGATAAGGGACCAAGGAGGCCATCTCCACGGCCGCCGTCAGGCGCCAGCGCACCT